GGACCAGGGAGGATAATTCAACCACTCAACCACTAGATGTCGCTGAAAACAACAAACCCTACACACTGTGCCTTTAAGGGGTGCTGTGGCACTCTTTGCACCCTTACTTCCCTCAGCTTGAGTATGTCTGTCAGTCCACTTATTAACTATTCTGTAATATGTTATGTGTTGTGGAAAGCAGACCAAATGCCTCATTAACAACTTTAATCACATTGAAACTRATGTTTAAAGGAGTTTTATGATAACGTGGAGCTGTTGAGCTGATTGAACTTGCATTAATTGAAACCATGATGGCGCTCCACTCACCTCCGGTCGACAACCACCCTGGGTCAGCAGCCACTGTAAGCAGGCCAGGTTCCCGGTGGCCGCTGCGTCGTGCGCCGGCGTGGCCCCGTTGTTCGCCACGCAGTTGCCCGGCAGTCGCGCCTCGTCCACCAGGAAACGCAAACAGCCCAGCCTCCCGGCCCGGGCTGCGTGGTGGACCGGRGAAGCCCCCAGCGCGTCCCTGACGCCGCTGTTGAGCGCTTTTGCCGCTAGCTGCGCCCTGAGACTGTGCACGTCTCCTTGCCTGGCGGCGAGCAGCGTCCTGTCGCTCTCCAACACCACCATGACTGCGCCTGTGCCTCTGCTGCTGCAGGCCGGGAGACTCTGTCCTCACCTGTGAGCCCCCACCACAACCAGCCTCGTTCAGTTCACCGGGCGGATGGGCTCAGGGGCATTGCTTTAGTAAAGCCTGAGCTTCTGTCAGTCACAGAGTTGATTCCGTAAGGTTGTTCCATGGATGAAATCCAAAAATCCAGTTCAGGAGGAAAAAAAACACTTTTACAGCCCGAGATAAAACTCCATTACTCAGAGTTAAACTAACCGTCAGTACATTAACCAATCAGACACACCTGTTGACACGGGCCCTCCTGATCACCTGTTGAACAAAAGATTTCTTTTAATTTGTTCAGTTTTTTTTTCTTTCCTCATTAGCTAATATCAGTGCCCTACCTGAGAGTCTTTCTCTGTGTTTTTTTCTTTCCTTTAGCAGATGGCGACATGGGACTGAGAGCCTGTTAAATAATCCATCAGGGGGAGGATCACTGAGCCTGTTACAAGTCGCTCTCTCTGAAAAGCGGCTCAGAACTTTAAAGGAGCAGTGCGCACAAAGCTGCAGCAGCCCTGAACAGAAACTGACATAATTTTGGTTGGTGGGTGTCAATCAGGMAGAAAACACAGTGAAGTCCTGCTGCAGACCGCTGGAAAAGCCGCCCCCACTGACAGGAATGACTGAAACCAGTAACACTGACCCCTACAGCTTTTTCAAAGGGGTCCATCTGGTGGCCTGTAAAAAAAAAAAACTGAACTTCTTTTATGAGTACTTGTTGATACTGGAAATAAAATTAGGCTTAGATTTATTCCCACCACCTTTCTTAATGGTGAGGGGAGGGAAGAAGATGCAGGGGGCCATAAATTCATGGCTCCAAAGCCAAAATATCCAGAATCTCATGAAATAAAGTTCTTTATTATCATATTTTTACTGTTGACTGTTTTTGAGAAAAGCAAACTTATTGAAGCTCATCCTTCTCTAAATTTATTATGGCCACATAATGTCGCAGTAAGATAAATTTGGTTTTGAGCTTTSATACATCACAACATCTAAATCAAAATTGTTTTAACTTATAAAACAACCAGTTGTATATTCTCTCTCTCTTGTGATATGATGAATTGATAGACTAAATATTTTAAAGTTGATGTCAAACTGGCTTTACTGTGGAAGCCCATTTCCGCCACCCTGATAAAAAAATAAAACTTGTATCTCATAATTATGACTTAGCTATCTCATTATTATGAGATAGCAGGACGTGTTGGTTCTGTAGTTCAATGTGTTCTGTCAGATTTATATTATACATATTTTAAAGAAGTAAAGTATGGAAGCCCATTTCCGCCACCCTGATAAAAAATAAATAAAACTTGTATCTCATAATTATGACTTAGCTATCCCATTATTATGAGATGCTATCTAATAATAATAATGAGATAGCTATCTCAT